GAGGCTGTCATCCAGCAGTGGATTGACAGACAGCTCTCAATTTTTTTTGTCATATTTTGTATGTACAGAAAAGGACGTTAAAAAAAAATGAAACGTGGTATTATTAAAACTAAACTATTTTTTTTATTTGACCAGGTAAGGCCCACAGAGCTATGTGGCTCTTTTAAAGAAGCGACGTGACCACAAATGATAGCTCAACGAAAGCGGCTTATATCACGTGGACATTTATAGCAGCTAAATATTCTATTAACGCGCGATGTTGATTCTAAATTTGGAGGGAAAACCTGGAGAACCCGGAGAAAAATTCACCCGACCACGGGGAGAGAGAGAGACATGCAAACTCCAAATATAAAGCAGGCGTCAGGGTTTTGATCCTACTCATGACCTACTGTATACCAGGCGAGGTAGTTAACATCTCGCCACCGCGGCGCCCCCATAATGTCCCCACGTGTTTGTTAATATTGGCGTATAATATCCATGTGCCTATGCGTGTGTGTCTGCAATACAATTTGATTCCCGCTCACGACCGACAACAGTGGAGATTGATTATACACTGTGTAACAATGTTTTTGTTCCTGGGTAGTAAGGATTAGTTCCTTATTTCTTATGCTTCAAAAGTACAAAATATGGCTATTATTCCCCACAAACTTTGCTTCTGTGACAAGGACATTGATCTTTTGAAATTGACCTATTTTACCGGAACACTCCAGATAGATTCAGTGCTGAGTAAACTTGGAGTAACTTCTAGAACATTCTAGAACTTTCCAGTAATATAAATAGTAGTATAAATACAGGGGCCTTAAGCTCACCAGTTAAATTTTGATTTAAAGCTTTCGTGACAGCAGGGATTAATATTCTTGGTTCTTTCGGTAAAGTCACGTAGAAGGGAAACAATAAAATAATAAGATGCCAGCTAGCAACTTCAGCAAAGATGAGCGTTTTGAATTATATAAATAAAAAAAGAGGGATGACATTGTCATCCTCTCAGCCGACAAGGGCAATGTCACTGTCATCATGGATAACATAGAATATAACAACAAAATTCAAGAATTACTCAACGATGGCAGCTATACAAAAATAAAAGAGATCCCATCAACAGCCTTGTCATACAAACCAACAAAATCATTTCTGATTCAACCGCTTAATTGATCAAACCAAACAGTTCTCGTTGAAACCTTCTGCTGCCAGGCCACCAAGATTATACGGCTTACCAAAAATACATAAAGTAGATACACCCCTTCGTCCCATCGTCTCTACTATCAACTCCCCCACCTACAAACTGGCTCGTTTTCTGTCTGAAATCCTGCGGCCTTTCACTGGAAAAACCACCTCTGCGGTACAACATTCTACTCACCTGGTATCGACAATCACGGGTATTTCCCTGTCCCCAGACGACCTGCTTGTCAGTTTTGATGTAGTTTCCTTATTCACCAAAGTTCCTGTACCTGACACCATCGCAATCATTGAAGACTTGGTTCATCAAGGACTAAACACTGAGGTACCCCCCCCCCCCTGGTGAGACACTGCTTAACCAATACATACTTCACTTGGAATAAAACTTTCTACAAACAAACTGAGGGCACCCCAATGGGCTCCCCCCTATCTTCGGTTGTAGCCAACATTTTCATGGATAAATTTGAGACGAACGCCATCCAGACTACCACTCTGAGCCCAACCTTATGGAAGAGGTACGTGGATGACACTTTTGTCATCTGGCCACATGGCCGGCCTGCTCTAGACCAATTCTTCGACCGCATCAATTCCATACACCCAGCCATCAGATTTGCCATGGAAGTCGAAAAAGATGGCAAGCTACCTTTTTTGGATGTCCTAATAAAAAAGAGACCTGATGGTTCAATGAACCACTCTGTCTACAGGAAAGCTACCCATACGGATGCTTACCTGAAACCAGATTCCCACCACCATCCATCCCAGAACAATTTCCTCATCAAGACTCTGCACCATAGAGCCCAATGCATATCCGACCAGGAACACATAGCCAGTGAACTCAAGCACGTACACCAAGCTCTTAAGGCTAATGGTTACTCCGACTACACAATCCGCGAAGCTATCACTCCAACCATGAAGAAGGACCCTCTTGAGGAGCCTTTCAAAACCATCACTTTACCCTACATTGCATGGGATCACAAAAAAATATCCAAAATGTTGAATAAACACAAGATCCAGGTCCGATTCAACACATTACATAAAATCCGTGATCCGGTTCTGTCTGTAAAAGATGTGATTCCGGACATACAGTACCCTGGCATCTACAAACTAAGTTGCCTCTGTGGTAGTAGTTACATTTGAGAAACCAAACGACATGTCTCGGATCGCATTCGTGAACACAAAGCAGACCTAAAACACGGTAGGACCAACACCTCGGCCGTGGCAGATCACTGTTATAATTCAGTAGGTTCACATGACATTGACTTCTCCAAGACATAGGTTCTTTGCAAGCCATCTGGCTACCATGATAGATTCGTTCATGAGGCTATCCACATATACAAACACAGAGACAAATTCAACTGAGAAGATGGATTCTGGCTTAGCAATCATTGGAAGGATTTGTTAAACCATTTCGGGTCTTAATTGATTGTTCACGCTTACGGTGGCTTTCAGACCACATCCATTATTTTCGTCTTCCCCTCCTCTTTTCCGAACATAGATGGACTCGTCCACCTGAATAACTGCCAAATCGCTCTCCGTGGTGCTAACGTTAAAAAAACCGCAACTTTTTCAAATTTTCTTGCTGTGATTTTCACACCTGATGATGATTGCTTGTGTTGCAATCGAAACATCGAGAGAATTTTATTGTTTTAAATTTTTGTTAGTTTATTGTTTCCCTCCTACGTGACTTTACCAAAAGAACCAAGAATGCCCACCAGTTCAGTTTAGTTCCACCTGCCTAAGTGAATACATATCTGCATTTTTATGAGATGGCAGCATCCGGCAGAGACATTTTGCTATGTCTGCGGCCAATTTATCAAGACAAAACCGAAAAAGTACTCTGTGGAAGCATCTGCGAAGATGTGTTAGGCCTACAAGGCATATTTCGGCATGCCTGTCGGGGATCAAGACAAACCATGGGCACCTCATTGCACCTGCGAGCAATGCAAAAAAACTCTGGAAGGTAAGATGAACAATTGTTGCTCGGAATTTAACGTTATAAAAATGTTGATTTAAAGCTTTCGTGACTGCAGGGATTCATATTCTTGATTCTTTAGGTAAAGTCACGTAGAAGGGAAACAATAAAATAATTAAAATATAAAACAATATCATTTTATTGTTTCCCTTTTACGTGACTTTACCGAAAGAACCAAGAATATGTTAGAAAATTTGTAAAAAAAAATGTAATTGTAAAAGTTTTTATTTTTATTTTAAAATGTTTTACAATATTTTCAATGTTATTGAAAAAATATATATGAAAAATGTTGCGAGAATCTCTTACACATTAGTCATGGTTGAAATAAATGTATTTTTGTAGGATGGTACAGAGGGGAAAAGAGAGCCATGAAGTTCGCTATCCCAAGAATTTGGCGGAAACCCACTGACCACTCAAGCAACTACTACTGGCCAGAATGCACCTGCTATCACGTATCCGGACCTTCCTTCACCATCACCCCGGGGCGGCACTGCCATGAGCTTCTCCGGAGAGAGAGAGCAGCCGTCTTTAGAAGAGAGCAGAAAGTCAGAGAGCGAGGAAGACGTTGCAGATCCAGATGACAATTTCAGAGGTGGAGCTGAGGAGAGAATCCCATACTACCCCAACCAAAAAGACCTCAACGACTTGATCAGAGATCTTGGTCTCACCAAGTCCAATGCCGAGCTTTTGACGTCTAGGCTCAAGCAGTGGAACTTGTTGGATGAAAGTGTGCAAGTCGCAGATCAGAGGAAGCGTCACCAACCTTGTTGCAGCTTCTTCACCCGTCAAGATGGGCTCTGCTTCTGCCACAATGTGACCAGTCTGTTCGATGCAATCGGAATCGCCAGTAACCAGAATGAGTGGCGCGTCTTCATTGAAAGCTCATCCAGGAGCCTCAAAGCCATGCTGCTCCATAATGGTAACAAGTACCCGTCTCTTCCCTTGGCTCACTCGGTGCACCTCAAAGATGAAAATAGGTGAATTTCAAAATATCAGTCTTGGTCACAAAAGCAAAGTTTGTGCGGACAAATAGCAATTTTCTATACTTTGCAGGCAAAAGCAATTACGAAATAACACTTTCTACCCAGGAACAAAACATTGTGTTACATAGCGTTATCCAACCGTTCCTGAGCCTCCCTTAGGTCGACTCAGCCTGAACAATGAGCATCTCCTGCGGCGGTGCGTAAACATCGGCACCGATGGAAGACAAAGACGGCCGAGCGCGGTGGTGAACACCACGCACAGCCACTACCCGTCCTGTTCCACGCCAGCGCGTCTTAGACAGATGCTCTCTCACAGCAACTTGCTCCAACAGGCTGGTAAAGGCCATACGGGGGATCTTTGTCTTTTTTGTTGTGTAACAGTAAATGCGGTGTGTGTGTGTACACACATCCCACCAATCGCGGCCCAGCACGGGCTATGGGTGTGTGGTGTGTGTGTGTATATACACACAGGTGTATAGTGTGTGTGTGTATACACCCGGGTGTATAGTGTGTGTGTGTATATACACACACACACTATACACCCGTGATATATACACACTGCGAATCGTAAGAGTGAAAGCCTCGTGCCGTTGCTTGGTAATTCGTTGCTAGGCATCACCTCTGCAGCTCGCACTGGCGGCAACCCCCCTCCCAGCCCCCCCCTCCCAGCCCCCCCCTTCCCAGCCCCCCCCCCCCCTTCCCAGCCCCCCCCCCTTCCCCCGTTCCTCAACGCCCCCCAGCACCCGAAGCCCACCACGGTTCCTTTTCAACCCCCCCCCCCCCCCCGCAGAAAATTAACGATGCCTGACAGACGGCACCATCCCACCAATCGTGGCTCGGCACGGGCTATGGGTGGTGGGGGCAGTGGTTCTGACTGAAAATATTTCATTGGGTGCCCGGGCTCTCTCTCTCTCTCTCCTTTCTCTCTCTCCCTCTCTCGGGCTGCCGATATTCCAACCCCTTTAACCACACGCGGGGCCAGATGGGCTTGGTTGTGTATATATATTACCGATGCTGACGTTGGGATAGGAAAACACAACAGGCGACGATTGTGACGGCTATTGTATTTAGCTGTCTCTCCCTCTTCTCATGCGAGACGCGCTTTTCCATCACTGAGGTGTCCTCGTGATACAGTGTTGCCATTTTTGTACGTATCTGATAGAATAGGTGTGCATTTCGCTCTGTTCGTCGTTTTGGTTTTGTCGTTGTCAATCCGAGACGCACGCGCGACGGACGGACGGACGTCACCTCGTGGTGGTGCCCTGCACCCCCACCTCTCTCTCCCGGCCTCTCAACCTGCTGATGCGGTAGATGCATTTTCTGCCCAGTTCGCGTCTTAGAAAGGGACTTGGAAGCCTCTGTGCTCTGACTGCCAAGCAGAAGGTGCGAGCGAGGGGGAGCAGCAAAGGGGAAAGAGAGAGAGAGAGAGATAGGAAGACCAGCAATATGCAGCTGAAGCTGCGTGTTGCGAGGAAATGTTTCCAGCGCTCTTGATTCCTGCTCACGAAACGGAATAGAGGATCCCCACTCCACCATCCGGAGCTGCGAACTGAATACCGCCCCCAACGCACCCCACCAGCCAGCCCGCACCAAAAAGTAAGTGATGAAAACAAATACATTCATTTGTAAACATCGGATGGAGTACGACGCTGATTAGACGTCTCTAATTTTACAACGCCGAGTTTTTTTAAGTGCGTCCAATTCGCCCGCGTGCCATTTTCGGTGCGCGCGCGTGTCTGTACTGTATTTTGAAATGGTAGTTACAGAAAAGCTTTGGCGATGCCTCCTGAATGGCTGAATGAGCGCCGACTCGGTGTGAGATAGCTTGCACTTCCCGGCTGATCAGTCACAAGTGCGGCGAACGGTGGTGCGGCAGCTTTGGGGGGAGTCTGAGTCATATTCGTCCAAGTACGGGAGTCAGAGTTGGCCGTGACATATTTTTTCCGAAATTTTAAGCAGACACCCAAGTCTTGTGTGAGATGAGTAGCGAGAGCGGCATTGGAGAGACCAGATTTAGAATGTTGACAGTTGCCCCACTTTTTGCTGTAAGTTTACATGCGTACTTTAATAAGCATTACGCACATCAGAAACGGGTTCAATAACGGGTTGCTATTCCCATCATCCATAGCCTAATTGAATGAGCTATTGGGCCAGCCCAGCCGCTTATATTGATCCTAGGATTCATAACGTGATGAAATGTCTCTAAAAAGTCGATCCAAACGCGCTTACGCTGCTCTAACATTCATTGCACAGGTGATTGACACAAAATGAAAGCGCCTCTACTCCAACACAAATGAGATTGTCTTCCTCGCGGAGTTAACGTCTCTCGCGACAACTCAGCGATGTTATTTTTTCTTTCTCAAATTGCCGGTGGTTCCCGCATCCAAAACAACGCCACAAAAATCCACAAAATCCGATTAACCGCACGGTTAACACATCGGCTCGAAATGTTTCTGCGAGTGACAGCTGCCCGACTCCGATGCGACTGCGAGCTGGCATTTATTGCAGCGTCGTTCACTTCAGTGAGCGACAGCCTTAATCGGAACCACATTCACAACAGGGAGAGCTTGAATTAGAGCCGGATGGGTGGGAGGAGGAGGATGGACGGAGGGAGGAGGTGGGATTGGTGTTTCAGGTGCATAACAGCCCAAACAGATGCTTTTAGATTGACACACAATGGATGCATGCAGCCTATAGTTGGGATAATCGTGCCGTAGAGAAGCTGCACTTGAAGGTTGACACAACATCGAGGCGGTCTCGTCAAATCAACGTGAACACGCAGCGTTGTTACGGCACTGCAATCTTCCCCCCGAGGCTTTAAAGTGGTCGTGTGATTTTTGTGTGTGTATGTGTGCTTTGCTTGTGTCAGTCACGCCGTGACTCGCGTATGCCGCGCGTCCAGGTCGAGGAGCGAGGCAGGTCTCGGCGTTTATTCCGCGCGCGTCGAGGCGACTACTCCTTATTTTGCCGCACAAACTCTCTCTCTCTCGAGCAATTACATCGGGAAGCATTATTTGTAACAGATTGGCTGCTGTGTATTCCCACCAGTGCTGCCCTCCAGCAAAAATGAGTTTAATTTAGCAAATCAGCCTGCAATTGCATTTGATTTTATTTGCAGTTAGCGGCAGGGCTTTTTATTGTTTTGCGCACGGTTGATTAAATATAGTGCTCTCCGGGCATTTAATCTGCAGTGCAAGTAGGTAATTTATTCAGTGTAAAGAATGGCAGGCGGGATGGTTACACACACGCGCGCGCACGCACCTACACGCAAACGCACACATCACTCAGGTCCATATTAAGGGCGACACGATGGGCAGTGGTGGTTCGTGGCACGCGCTATGAACGTGGCGACCTGAGTTCGATTCCCTGTCGAGGCTCATAACATCAGCGGCGATCGATATCTGAATCGGATATGGGCTACCCACCCCCTCCCCATCACCAGCCCGCACTGGCCAGAGTGGTGAAGTATGGCTAAACAACCCCCCATGACCCAAACGGCATGGAAGAGGTATGTTTATTTTTCTCTCCCAGCAGTAGACCGAAAATTAAATGATTAATTGACTACACGTATATGCATGCGCGTGAACACGCGCCACGGATGCGCGAACATAGACACAGCATGTGTTTTGGATGCTCATGTCAGCACACGTCAGTGGTGTATGTGCTTGCTCAAGTCAAAATATGACAAAGCTGTGAGTCATGGATGGGAAATGAGGCCAGATTGCAAACTGCATCTTGCCCATCGGATTGGTCTCCAGAGGTACGGCAACCGAAGTTAATCGTCTCCCCAACTCTAGAAAAAGCAAACTCTGCATTAATTAACTCCTGCTGCTGCTGCCGTGTGCCATTTCTTTTTAGCACTTGCGTCCCTTATGTCCGGCTATAACTGTCGGGTCACGATAGCTCTCGTAATAAGTGGACTCGCCCGATTTACAAAGCGGGCACGTGACTCATAGCGTTGCCCACAAGCCGGAGACACAAACCAAGAGCCAAAGGAATTAATCTCTAATTTAATTTCTTTCTTACGTGACTTTACCGAAAGAACCAAAGAGTAATTCCTGCAGTCACGAAAGCTTCGAATCTCGCCAAAGGAATGTCTACTTACGGATACAGTATGCAAATTAGTTGTGTACCGAGAGCTACCTAGCGGATTGCACGCGGCTAATTAAATTACTTCCGAAAACAAACGCTCACTTTGGGAAGCGTTAAGTACGGTAATGCCATGTTCACGCGTGATTTTTTTTTGGAACTTGTTTAAAAAAAAATTCACGCCAAAGACTTCTAAACCTTTCTTCATTTCCTAATAAACAAAAAAAAAACCCACACTTGTTTAATATAACAATAATGATTACGGCTTTGAAAACTGGATACATTTTTTTTGGGCTGAATTTCCCGGTCCATTTCACGCAGCACCACGCGAGGCACGTTCAGACATGACGATGCGAGGGCATTCGGGAGACGAAATTCCAGAATCAGATTTGTTCTGAATTTATCCTGGAGGAATCCTATCAGCTACAAAGCTCTTTTTTTTCACAGATGTCCAGTAGTAGCGTGTAAGAAGGTTCCACCCCGGGGGGAGCCCACGCGAACCTCCTTCTGCCGATGAAACACGCTCGTCCCGCATTTCCAGCCACCTCGCCGGTTAACGCGACGCCCGACGCCACGATCCCACGGGCGGTAAATCCGAGCGGCATTTCACAACGTTAGCAATCGATGATCTACGCGTGTTTCCATGGGCTCGTGTGTGTGTGTGTGCGTGTAGCCACCTCCTCGTGCGCCGTGCCGGCCTTCATAGGTGCTCGCTCACAGCACCTGCCCCAAAAGTCTGTCAAGGGTACACGGGGGATGTTTGTCTTTGTAGCCACCTCTTCGTGTGTTGTTACGGCCTTCATAGGTGCTCGCTCACAGCACCGGCCCCAACATTATGTTAAGGGTACACGGGGGGTTTGTTTTTTTGTCTTTCTGGTAGGGAGCGCACTGCGCCGAGAACCCGGCCACCCGAGTTTGGCTCCCGCTCACGGCCAACACCAGTGACGGTTATTTGAATCGGTCTTGGGCCTCCCCTAGGTCGAATCAGCCTCAAATGAGTACTTGGTGCGGTGTGTAGTAAACATCGCCACTTAGGGAGACAAAGGCGGTCGGGTGTAGTGCTGGCCACCCACCCGACCTCGTGTGCCGTGCCGGCCTTCATATATGCCCGCTAACTTACCCTAACGTCTGTTAAGGCTTTACGGGGGATCGTTTTGTCTATGTACGTGTGTGAGGCCTCGTCCGCCTTTGCCTCTCTCCGCAGTGCTGATGTTTACCTGCTGCACTGGGCTACTCATTGAAAGCTGAGTCGACCTCAAGGGGCACTACCCAAGGCTGGTTCAGATAATCACCACAGGTATTAGCAGTGATCGGGAATCTAACTCAGGTGGGCCGGGTTCGTTACCACGACGCTACAGTTCCCCACAAAGTGTTCGCTCACATCAACTTGCTCCAACAGTATGTTAACGGTTTTTGCGGGGTATTTGTGTTTATGCCTTTGTGTGGCCTCCTGCCAGCGAGCCTTCGAAACTTGACATGGTCTCAAAATATACCAAAGTCTGACACTGCGGTGACTTCACAGTCACTTTAGTGGCCAATGGCGGTTGTTGTTGTTGTGGAGCGGTGGCGCAGTGGTTAGCGCACGGTGGGATGAACCTGGTGACCCGATTCGCGATTGTCGTCGGCAATTACATGAATTGGGTTTCGGCCTCCCCTAGGTCCGCGCAGCCTTAAATTAGTACCTTTAAACTAGATCAGCCTTGGGGAGACAAAGACGGTGCTGCTAAAGGCTACACGCGTGCAAGCAGGCTCTGTGTATTGTGTAGAGGCTCTGCGTATTTGTGCAGTCTGAATGTACAACCCTTTGATGGGTGGAACTCACCCAGCCTTATAGCAGCGAGCGTGACAGGCGCGCGCGCTGCATGTCATTGAAGTCTCACGCGACACAGGTTGTGGGCTCGGACAAGCGCTCAGCTCGGCGCCGGTGTGAAATCGAGATGTGCACGTGAGTGCAGCGCGTGGCACCCACCTCGCGTTTCGTGCCCGTGAACGTGCAAGGATTTTCAAAAAGGAAATACACAAAAAAAAGAGAGGATGCAAGATGTGGCCGTCGCCACCCTGTAAATATTCATGGGGAAAATGTAACATTTATCCAAGTTGCTCAGTTTCTTCCCGTCTAAAATTTGATGCCCACTCTCGCTGCCCGCCAGCGCGCAAGCTCCCAGACCTTCCGTCCAAACCCCGACACCCTCCCTGCCACGTGACCCACCATCCTTCAAACCGGCGCAGGCGATGGAGGCGGTAGGGAAATATATTTCGGGGCTCAGCCGTGGACATCTTCGTCTGAGGTTTAACCTCGATTTTTTTGTGATTATTTTTTAACGATTTATTTAACGATTTTTTTAGTGATTATATAATGGTGATAGTACAACAGTGTTCTAATTAAGCCACTTTTTTCCCCCCTCTGAATTTCTTTAAAGCAACATGTACTGAATTGCTTGGCTGGCGGAGAGATTATTTGGCTACCAATACATTGCTGATGAGACAGGGGCCATAACTCGCACACA